TTGTTCTACAACATATAATACTTCATTAAATATCCCGCTGGTGGTTGCTAACAAGTGTCTAAATGTCAATACCAAATGTCATCAAGATGAACATGAGTCCGCCTTTAGCTCAGCGGTGGTGACTTGGAAGTCATGTGATCGTGATGTAGGTCGTTCATAGTGTTTATAACGTTACCTTCTGATGACTGCATTTACATTTGAAAATACATAAAGTGGTTTTTTCAAGTGGAGATTATCCTGCTTAACAGATGTGTAAGTATCATGAAAGTGTGTTTGCCAAAGAGCTTATTTTCTGTAATATTCAATGGAACGGAAGAATCCCATTGGATGTGTTGAGGCAGCCATCACTGCACTGTCAAAGCACTGAAAAACCTTCCAGAAACAATGGGTCTGTTTCTTTTAGACAGTTCACAGATCTCACTACGAGTTTACTTTGGAAGTACTTTCTGCCATAGTCCTTTTGACAAATGTAAAACATGTGTTATGTAGATTAGTAAAGAGGACGAGAGGTTTCCGGAGGACCAGCTTCTGATCCGTGGGAAGTGTTTTAGCAATATTTGGAGCAAACTAACTTTCATTCAGGTCCGTTGTATAAGGAGGAAGGCTGAATTGTCTCCGAACCTTTATGACTAAATTCAAAAATATCTGAATGTCTAGATAACACCGAAGATGCTTGAAAATATATTTTCGGTGTACTTCAATGTAGTCACTACTCCAGTTTATCTGACAGCAATACCTCAAATTCCTGCCATAGTTATTGACAGCGTTTCCCCCAGGGGGCGTCTTGCCGTCATTTGACGCTCTTATTCAGCTCGGGACGCCCTGAACTCGAGCCGAGGGCGTCCAAAAATTTTTATAATTTGAGAGAAGATCGAGACTTTTTATCGCTTGAAATGACGAAAAGGAAAAAGGACAAGGACATCCGTCTGTTGGAGGGGCAAAGGAGTCTGGTGGGATTATTTTCGCCGCCAGCAAAGCGTGTTCCTGTGACGGAAAAAAACAAAACACCGCCGCATCTTCCAAGGACCATGCCAGGAGGGGTGTCCCTGTCGGCAGGGAGACGTAAAGAGATAGTATAAGGGACGGCGCAATTCAAAATGGTGTGCATGTAAAGAGATAGTAGCCTATCTATAAGGGACGGCTCAATTCAAAATTCAAGTCACGTGACACGACGTGACGTCCGTCCGTCCGTCCGTCCGTCCGTCCGTCCCCCGCTCTCGGGGTGGACGCCCCCTCAGCCCTGGTCTGGCGGAAACACTGGTTATTGACATACAAAACTTCACACTGCAGCACAGGCCAATCATTGCTTGTGATGTTCACAGGTGAAGAAGTAGGATGGGACTTCCGTGATCACGAATGTCAACAAAAATGGTGCCAAAATGCTAACAGTTGTCAACTAGGAAGGAGAAAGCAACAATTCTGGTGTGCAAGTCTTTCCATTTGGGACTCAAAGTTCGTCCTGAACTTGCAAACAATGTTTTTTTTTTTAGATAAAGTATCATGCCAGATGCTCATTTCTGCCTGATTGGAGTCTGATTTCACACTTGTTGGATCCAGCCAGTACTGTGCTGGTATGGATCCTGACTTAAAATATCAAATGTTATGATTTAACTTTGATGTTATTAACGGAAATGTCCCCTTTCTGCTCTGCTAAATGAAACTGTAGCTACATTTATGCCAATTACACTTATGTCAGCAGGTGAAACTAGAAATGCAACAGTATTTTCTTCAGTTTTTCAATTTGCTTAGTTTTCTTTTGGCTGTTCAGAAAGAAAACCTTTAGCGTAGGAACTGGTATCATCTCAGCGATATAAAAAAAGAAAAACGAGCGGGTGGGTTTTTTCCAGGCCATTTCTCTTTGACCAGGGGGGCTGAGCCCTCTTCCCTGATCATAAAGCTATCAGCCTCAGAGGGGAAAACATCCTCCACGCTACAGTAACCCAGAGAGGAGGAAGGATAATGTATCTTTGCCGGCACCCCCTGACAATCATCAATTATTCACACACAGGCACTCGAGAACCTGAAGTAAACACACACACACTCACAACGTACAAACACATACATGCACCGACAACCCCCATGCAGTACATACATTTATAGACGGACAGAAACAGATTAAGTGTTTACTTTTTTATATATATATAAGTCAACTCTGCAATAGTCCTTTTTTAAGAGCACAGTTGTTGAAGTGAAATCTCCAATACAGAATGTTAAGATATTGGTGACGTGCCTTGCAGTTCTGGAATTATTTTTGGATGCATTTGGTCTGCTTTCTGTCCCAAAAATAAAACATGGAGAAGCAGTTTTTTCTTATTCTCAATAAACAATCTACCAAAAATCTGCAGGTCTGCTGCAACTCCAATCAAAGCAACTGCACTCCGCTTAAGATGTTTTTTGGGAAGATTTTTCTCTTTCTTCCACTGCCTTTTATTAAATCAAATAACTTACACTGCCCTCTAACATATATTATTGTTCTTTAAAACTGTCTTGTCCTTTTTAAGCTAATTTTATTTCCATTCTATTGGCTTTTTCTGACTTTTTTCAACGTATTCAGATTTCATTATATAATCGGTTTCTGTTGCAGAATATATCGTAAAGCTCTTTGAACTGCCTTATTGTTGAAACAAGCTTTATTAGTGAACTTGCCTTGCCTTGCGTTTGCTTGGACATATTTGTGAAAAGGGTAGATAACAGACCCTAATGCCACACCTAAATATGTCAGTCGGCTACAGCAGAGTTTGAGAGCAGAGATAGTCCAAAAAGCGTCAAATGTCCAGCCCCCGATCTGCACCAACACTTAGCTCTTAGATAATGAGAATTTCTCTTCAAAACAGGCAGAGACACCAATCAAAGAACCAACAGTATTAGCAGCATTTCAGAATAATGTGCAGCATTGTAACATCGAGAAAATATATGTAACTTTCAACGTATATAAACCGGAAAAATGCATTGGTTTCACGCTGCTTCTCTGCCAGCTTTAGGCAGTTTTGGAAACCTCCTACTGAGACAGAGCAGCTGGTGTATCTGCAAATATGATCCAAGTGCGAGTTTCAGTGAGAGAGTCAGTGATGATTCCTGGACGTTTCATCCAAATTAAATCAGTAGGGCAGCAATGACAGGCGTTCAAAGTTAAAAATAGGGATCTAGTGAATATAGCAACACGTCTCATTCTCACCAAACTGGCGTGAAATTGCATCTACAGTGCCTCAGACTGGGTATCTAGTTCAAAATGTTGACTTTTATGATTGGTATTTAGAAGGCAATGATTAACCTAAGATGCACACAAATCTGATTGTAACATCCCAAATGGCTGTATGGACTGTATAGGGTTGCCGTAATGGGAAAGTATAGAATGGAGAGAAGAGAGAAAAGTGATGCCATCAGACGTTAAAATGTAAGACAAATCAACCAACTGATTTTTGTCAGTGATGCTAGGTTCCTCCATTCGACAGAGAGTCTCAACCATATGAACAGCTAGAAATATGTAGTTGTATTGTAGGGTATCTGTTCCTCATAAAACTGACTTTTCTAACAGGAAGCAACTTCAGGGAAAAACATCCACAAAAACGTTTATGAATGTTTGCAGTTATTCTATACAAGCTGAAAGTAGATTCATAGATTTGAATAGGATACAAATAAAAGCAGACGGAGAGAAAAATATGAAAAGATTGGAATTTTTAAGAGTTACGAAAATCTGCCAATTAAAGAAACATATTAAACAGGGACCAACACTCCTGGGAGTCGAGCGGTGTGTGTGTGTGTGTGTGTGCGTGTGTGTGTGTGTGTGTGTGTGTGTGTGTGTGTGTGTGTGTGTGTGTGTGTGTGTGTGTGTGTGTGTACATGGATTTTTGTATGTGTGATATGAAGTTAACCAGACTGCTGGTAAAAGGAGCTGTTAGGAGCATGGCACTGAGTCAAACCAGGAATTTGTATTTTATGTATTTGCACACACACACATACATCAAATCAGCCGCACTGATAATAAAATGTACCACTTCTGACTCATTTTCCCCTACATACAACACATATCCATCAGATAAATGCATGATTGATGATACATGTGAGGACCTTCACACCCTAATCTATAAACCGAAGCTTAACATGATCCTAATCTGAGGTTTAAAATGTAATGATGAGCAATATGCCCGCACTCTGAGGGATTCCCATCAGCTAGATGCTGCTGTGTCCCAGCGGCTCAAAGGACTTGAATTGCCCTTTTTCTTTCAATTTCTGATGTTTCTATAAATATTTATTTATTCTATTCGAGTGCAACTGACACGAAACCTAATTTCCCCCTGGGATTGATAACGTTTCCTGATTCTAATATGAATTGCTATTCTTAGAAGTACACTAAAACTGAGATTGACTTGCTAGGTGCAAAAGTGGATTTTAAATATTAGTATATAAGTATATTTGTAATACTTAAAATGAAAGTTAAGAGATGTGTTTAGGTACTCAACTGCATTTTACAGTAACATGCCTGTCTTTGTAAGTACATTTTACTCAGTATTGTATAGTAGTTTTTTTTAGGGTGATTTTTCATTTGCTATACTTTACTTTTATTCCATAAACATTTAAGTAATATTAACAAATTGTTTCTTCTTCACTTCTCTATCATGCATTTGTTTAATCATGATCATCATAATCAAAGACAGCCGCTCTGCAGTCTCTGTAGAAGCTTTTAAAAAACAGCTGAAGACCCATCTGTTTACATTGGCTTTTATTTCTATTTGAGATGTGTGTGTTCTGTTCTCATGTCTGTTCCTGACTCCACGTGGTCTGTGTTTTGTTTCTATGTTAACCTTACATTTCCTCATGTTGTTATTGTATTCATGTTTCTGTGATCTTCATTTGAACTTTTGTTCTTTCTTGTGAATTGTATTTCTGTGAAAGGTGCTATGCTAAATAAACGTATTATTATCATCATCATACGTTCTGCACAAACGCTACAGTAAAACCCTCTGAACGCACACGTTGTGAGTGCATGTATGAGTACTCACAGCCTCTCGGTGCCTCTGGGGATGTTTCTGGGTATGGAGTGGATCCCCAGGCCGTGGCAGTCCACCGTGTTCCCCAGGCAGCTGCAGGGGGTCGGGCAGGCCTCCACGGACCCCCATCCTGCCACCAGCACCAGGACGCCCCACACCATCATCGCCCCGCAGCCTCCTGACCCGGCTGCATCCCTGCTTCCTGGCATCCTGCGGCACACTGCAGATCAGAAACCTCTGCTGTACTATCCTTCCCTCAGGGGGTGACTGAACACCAGCACCAGCAGCTGCAGCACACACCCCTCCAAAAGTGGCCAAAATTGCTTAGAGTACAATGAGTGAAATGGCTTAAAGAGGCACCAGGTGAAGTTGAGCTCGGCTGCCACTTGATGCCGAAGTGGCTTTTCGGAGAGAGAGAGAAAGGACAAAAGAGACAAGTATATCCACTTCTTCTTCTTCTCCTCCCCGGCTTTAGAGCTCCTTCCAATTGGCTTCTCTTCTTCTACTCTCCTGTGTGTTCTCTGCTCTCCCTCTCCTCTCTCGTGCAGCCGTACAGTGTTTGCCTCTCCCCTCCACTTTTCATTGAGTCATTGTGCAGTGAACAGTGAGCCACTAGAAAAAAAAAAAGCAAAGAAAGGGGGGGACTCCCTCCCTCACTCCCTATCTCACACACACACACACACACACACACACACACACACACACACACACAGAGCAATCATCCATCAAAAGCTTTTACAAATAACAGCAGAGACTCCTCCCACACACACACACCCCCCCCCAGTTACACACACATGTACACACACACCCCCCCCAGTTACACACACACACACACACACACACACACACACACACACACACACACACACACACACACACACACACACACACACACACACACACACACACACACACACACACACACACACACACACACACACACACACACACACACACACACACACACACACACACACACACACACACACACACACACACAGCAGCACCCGGAGTGAACTCACATCTATTCAGTGACTGCAGAAGCAGCAGCAGCCACCTCCAGTGACGGCAGCCCTTTTCTCCCTCTCTTCCCCTATTTCCTTGTTTCTGTCTATTTCTCTCGCCCACATGCGCTCTCCTCCCTTGGGGGAGAACAAGAGCCCGAAGGCTGCAAGGACATGATGAGAAGAGAGGAAGGAAGAGAGGAATGGAGAGAGGAAGGAAGAGAGGAGATCGTGATCACTCTGACGCATCCGACCGGGAAGCTCCATAAGAGAAGGAGATTTGAAGAAGCAAACAATTGTAAATGTGAAATTTGAAGAAGGAAACAGGGAGTTGCTTTTAATGTGATAATATTTTTTTTACTAAGGCTCAGTGCCAAGACAGCAGGAAGTTGTATTTGGGGAGAGAAGGGGGGTTTCTTGAGAGACTGGCATAACTGGAATGCCATAAGCTGCCACAGAGCTTACTCAGGAGTCTATTAGGAATTCAATGGCTATGAAATTCAAATGGAGCCTGGCTGAGGTCTTTTTTTTTTTGTTGGTTAATCTCCAAAAGAAGCACTGGCTTCAGCTTTGCCATTTCACCATTTTAACGAGGAAAAGAGAAGAGGGGAAAATCTGAATTATCAGAAGTGTGGTGAAGAAAAAGACATGAAAGCTATTTACCACTGAAAGAGAAAATAACTAAAACTGTAGGACTGAAAATATTCTTTTCTCTTCATCATTAATCTGCTTTTATCCCGAAAGATAAAGCTATTAATGCTAAGCAACCAATTTTCCACAACCCAAAGATTAATAAACCTGTCTAACCAATTGTAAAAAAAATACTGAACTTCATAATTCAGAATCTGAAGCCTGCAAATATTTTCATTTTTCGCATCATAACTGACTTTAGTAGTTTCATATTGAAAGTATAGTGGCATTGAAGGTCTTCAGTAATAAGGAAAAAGGCAGAATTTAATAATGGAATTTGGTTTCCTTGATTTTGATGTTTGTAGCAATGTCATATCTATCAATATACCATCAGCGATTTATACGATATAGGTGGGGTTATGTGGACTATATATATATAATACGATTTTTCCTAAATGACATATTTGATTTAGTATCTGTTTGCAGTATGACAATCTAACATTGATATCACTCTCAAAATGAAACCAGGTTTTGTCTAATTAACACAAATATATTAAACTTACACCAATAAAAACCAAAGGAAATCAGCAGAAAGTTATATTTGGGAATCTGAACGCTGCAAATGTTATGAATTGTGTTTAAAAAATGACTGATGTAATTGGAAAGTATATTAGAGGTACTTAGAAAGAAATGCGTAATGGACTGTTTCCTGACGGTTGTCATATTATCCCATCGGGGATTTATGGAATATATGATGGGGTTATGTGGAGTATAATTAGATGTTCTCTGAATAACAGATTTGATTTAGCGGTGTGACGACCAACAACTGGAGGGCACAGTTTACCCAGCTTTTTATTTACCTCCTCACATGAGTGATTATTGCCGACGGCCTCACTTTGTCTCCTCCCTGCGGACTCGCTATGACGGGTTAATTTAACCAGGCGCTCCTCACAAGTGATGGAAAACAAATTGGCCACAGGCAGCGCCCGGCTGCAGCTGAATTGAATGAGTCATTGGGGCGATAATCTGCAACAAAGGGAGGGAAGAGATGTTGACATCTCTATGGGGGAGGACCCTTCATTTCTGGGGGCCATAATAGCTTTCTGAAGCAGGGGTGAGGGGGGGGCTTTTACTCCAGACGCGTCTGAATTGATTTCTGAAACGACAGAACAGATGCTTTTGTCTCTAACGCGTCAATTCACAAAACCTTCAGATCAGGTCCCTGCTTTTTATATCATTTGGCAAAAAGAAAACCTTTTGATCCAACGAACAATCAAAAAGGGAGACTTTTCTGTTAGCAATGCAGATAACTGAATTATTTGATTGATTTGATCAAATTAGACTTTCAGATCTAAATGGGAACAAGCACCCAGCTGATTACTTAAGAAAAAGTCTTGGAAGAGGTCCTCTAAGATCACGTATCATCACATGATCTCATTTATTTAATTCTTTAAAAAGTGCAACAACGACATAGTATGGTTTTTAAGTTTTTGTATCAAACAGATGTTATGACAATTAGTGAGGTTTAGAGGTACTGGTAGGCACATTTTGTCACCTCACGACCACAATGATAACCCCTTTCCCATCTTCCAGTCTTTATGCTAAGCTAATGGGATTCTGGCTGTATCTCCACATTTAGCCTATAAATAAGAGTAGTATTGACCTAGTCATATAACCTTTAGCAAAAACCAAATAAGAGTATTCCCAAAATGTCCAAATATGGCTTTCAAATGGCAGTGGATTTATGATTGACTCTTTAATTGTTTTTTTTGTTGCACTTAATTTAAAGAAACGATTGGAGCATGGAAAAACAATATTTACACACGCACTGTTTTGAATGCAGGTTAGGAGAGGTAATAATAAATATATCATTACTCAAGATACTGCTTATGTTCTAGCATGGCAACTAGATGTAACACATGTCTAATGCCAAGAGAAGTAGTCGATTCATCAACTTGATATTCACACATTCAAGTGTATATCGGTTTAAGAAAACAAGCCAACTATGACTTAGTTTCAGATTCCATGATGTGAGGATTTATTGCTTTTGTCTCCGTTACACAATAGAACATTTCGTTTTTGAGTATTGGTTGGAAAGAAAGCAATTTGAAGAGGTCACCATGGATTGTGGTACATTCTGACGATAGCATAGACGATTTTCTGACATTTAATACAACAAAAAGCAATGAACAGATTAGATCATTAAGAAAGCCCTTAACATTTACTCTGCACTTCTAATCTTTGCAACCAACGACACAGGTTCAAACATATACAGTATGATGTGGTCTTTTCTGTTCAATCAGACTTAAGTGCAAACCTCAAAGACAGAACTAACCAACGGAGAATATTGTATAAAGTTGATATCACATATGTATGCACCACATATACCAAAGCAAATGCCTCGTATGTGTAAACCTACTTCGTGATAAAACCGATTCAATATATTCACGAGGAAGTCAAATGTTCTTTAACTGTGTACCTTTCTCCAAATCTTTGTATATATTCATCCAATTAATTTTCCTTTGGGCTCGTCATTAGATCCTAATGCGAAGTACACTGATCATTTAGTAACAGTAGTTTCTTTGGTCATGTAGATGTTTTACTAAGCAATGCATTGACCTGAATAAAGCATTCAAACTGTTTTAGGGGAGACCTAATACCCAGACCTCATTAAGGTACCTGTCAAATCAAAATTCCTTTCCAAGCATACTGATTTAATAAGATATAGACCGTGTAACTCATCGTACTTAAACCTTCCTCAACTGATCTTATCGTGTTCTGTTCTCTAGAGATGTGTATTCTTTTAATACATCACAAGTTGAAGTAGGTTGGGATGTATAGGAGGCTTAAGGCTGCTATCTAACCCTGAGACTCACTCTGCCTGCACTGCTGAATCCCTACCAGCTGGGACACTTCACTGCCTGACCTCTGACCTCTGAGCTTCCTGCAGGAGAAAGAAAGAGTTTCTAAAATGGGAACGACGAACAATTGATATCACAATATTTAAAATGGTGATAAGTAGTAGATGTCAAGATGCGTAACAGAGTAAATGACAATTAAAAATCAATCAAAATAGCAAAACAAGCAAAGTATATTCTGTACCTTTGGGAATGGCTTTAAATTCATGATAAATAACGGAATATATTTGTGTTAATGCAACATGAAATTCATCTTATTGACTGTTTAAATTAATAAAACTGATTCAAAACCTCAAAAAGCAAAGCTATAGTTTCACATTTACTTGAGGGCTTTTCGTGACACAAGAAATTACTACATTAGCATAGATAAAACTAATTAAAAAACATTTTGCAATATCTGTCCTTCGACTTTCACCTCCATGTTATCTAACAGCACCCTCCAGTGGGCACATGACACATTGAAGGAACGTCTCGGTTACAGTTGGCTATATGACTACTTCTGGGCACTCATTTCCTCATACCAACTTTATAATGCATTATAAAAATTACGAAATAAACATTTATCAGTGAAAAAATAATTCAAACATGACAGACTTTGTGTAGGAAACATAAAAAAGTTTTAATCCGAAGCGGAGGGTTCACCAAGGAATCCAATGCACTGTACAAGGTTAACTTATTTTACACTAAAATACAAATAAAAAAAAGGGTTACCACGGTTCAAACCAGGTGGAACAAAAGTCACAGATACGTTCATTATCACACTGGAGGAACAGAGCATTGACAAATTTGAATAACAGTGTTTTTGATTAACCCATAAAACTCGTAACATTGACAGATCTCCTGTTAACACAGAAATATGGTGAAAGCAACCATTTAGGTACCTTAAACATGTATTCCCCCTACTTTTGTCATATTATGCTATTCTGTTGTTCTCAGTGTTAAACAAACTTATCAGTGACCATGTTCAGATAGAAAGTAGAAATCAGTAACTAAAATGTTTCACATTTATGTACAGAGAAAAACAAAAAAAAGACAGACACACTTAAAACAGGAAGGCTCTGGAGACTTCTGTGTTACAAATAAAACAGCATTTCCACATCATACAGAATGGAACTGCTCTCATCTGCGTGACAAGGTAACAAAAAGACAATTGTAAGTACCTTAAATCTGGCCCAGAGACTTGTGTTTCCCAAAAGGCAATAAATAAAATAAAAAAATACAATAATCCTCTCCCTTAAAAATAAAACATGTTGGTAAAACTGCAGCCTAGAGAACTGAAAAGGACTTCACGAAGAAAAGATGACGTCCAGAGATCCCAGTTCAGTTTCAAAAGTGTGCCGAGATGAATTCAGTCAGGGTTATTTAGAAATAAAAAAAGTTATTGAGAAGACCATAGTACAAAAGTGATCTTCAGAATATGACAATAAACGGTAAAATAACAAAAGGAGGTAATGTCTTTGAGTGTCCATCTGCACCTGACATGTCATGCATGTTCAATCGCCTTCAACAAACCCATCGTTTCAACATCCACAACTCTTTCAAAACAGGATGCACCAGTATCAGATTCCTATGTATTTCCAATTAGACCATGAAGCAATAATACATGATGAACAGCAGGAATAGGAGAAAAACCTGAGGATTTCTCATTGGCATTTCCAGATTCTATGAACACAAATGTAGCACAGTAGGGAAGTGAAGTAGTTGGAGAAATCCAGTTGCTTCCTGAAGGGCAGCACCGTTTTGAAAAGTTATTTAGTTGTAGAAATGTTGATACCGGTGCATGCGTACTCCCTATACAACAAAATGAGCAGATGTCAGTAAAATCAAGCCGTGACAAGTAAAGCTGGAGGAACATACATAGGAAGTGTGCATACAAAATGACCGTCCCACAAAATGTAGAAAAGGGGCTTTAAGTACGTAACATTCTCTGCAAAACACACAATTATGCACGTGTCATTTTAATATCTAAGTCCCTTAATCTGTTTTCAACAACAGGGCCTTAATCAGGTATAAGTGCTTCTTGAGTGTTGACCAAATATACCCAGATAATGGACGTTACATTAGGGCTGGGCAATATATTATATTGTGTTAGATTTAGGATACCGTAAAATAGTGTTTCTTGGCTTAGATGAGATTTGATTTTCTAGATCTATTAGTTGTAATTACGAATTATTATTTATCAAAAAGCACCATCAGTACACCTTACAATTGTCAAAATATCAATATATTTGGTATGGAATATTGTGAGGTTGCTATATAACCCAGCCTTACAGTACACTCACATGTTTAAAAGGATCAGACTGTAACATTACTGCTCATTTCAACCTTCTCAAATCGTACAAAAACTTTCTTTAGACTTTCATTTAAACCCTCACCATATCATACCACCCTCAAGATATCATACCACCCTCAAGATATCATACCACCCTCAACATATCATACCACCCTCAACACGTCACACTTCCATCATCCAGCTGACGAAAAAGTAAAAACAATAAAGTAAAAAAAGTATTTAAAGTCCTGTTAGACTGTAACATTTCATATTTGACGGATTCGTTAACAGTGGGTATTTTCACAGTCTGTGAGAGTAGTGATTATCAAATGAACCATATTTTTCATATCCGGATTTAAAAACATTTGAAATATAAAGTGACCTGCTCACTGACTCGGCATCAGCGGCACAACAAAGAGAGAACATCACCCAAAAATATCATCCATTAACCAACATATCGTACCGTAGACACATCACATCTCCCAGTTAAAAACACATTATAAAAACACACACACACACACACACTTACAAACACACTGTACAAAATGTATACATATCCTACACTTACTAGTGGTCATAGAGTTTGATACAGTAGCTAAAAATAAGTTTCAATAAGCAGGTGGAGCCAAACCAAAGAAACAGGAAGAGCTAAACAATAACCCCAAAGTGTTATTCAAGACAGAGCAGCATGCAATGTGACGAGCGTTAATGCTTTTACGTTCAAGTTTAAAATGATCTCCGAGCAGATCTTATAATGCAGACTTGTTGATAAATCCATTCAAAAACGAAAAAGTCACAATGGAATTTGAATAATTCAGATTCAAATGTATAACTTCGATAGCCGATTAATGCAAACACATTATTGAAACCTGACAAATATGTGGTATAACAACAAAATTAAGAATGTTACAAAAAGATACATTTGCATTCGTCACAGAATATGCATTTGCTCCCAAAGACTCTTATATTAAAACAAACTAATTATCCTTGCACCCAGTTCAACTAAAAGTGTTGCTTGTCATCATTACTTTATTTCAGATATGATTACTGAACTAAATCATGCTCAAAGAAATACTGTCCAACCTGATGCACTATTATCTGAATAGTAGAAGTACGAGAAATCTGGGACTTTTCTGAAGTATTTCTGAGAGTAAAAAGGGGGTTTAAGCTTCAGATATCACGTATTGAAGTCATAACTGTTTTGCATGTTTGGAAGCAGAGTCATTTTTCCCCCCATTAGGCATCTTCTTTACATTAAGGGTATCTAAGGGGGGGGAGGATTTAAATCAACTGTAAGTACCTCTCACGTCTAGTTGTCTGTCCAACAGTGATTTCCTGGCTTTGGTTTGGCTGCTCTGGCAGAGGCTGAATGCTGCTTTATATTAGTCACAGTTAAAAGAGACTGACTACGATGAAAACATGATAATAAACAAGAGGAATATTAATATAAATACTGCTCGAGTCCTGTCTGAGACAAGGAGGAGGAGGTGTTGGGTTTTTACAGCGAGATCTCTTGAGCGGGAGAGAAACACATCCGGGTCACAGAGGGGGAGTTCTGCTGGAGAGGGAGGAGGAGAGGAGGATGGAGGAGAGGAGAGGAGGAGGATGGATGGATGGGGAGACTCATAAATACAGTTTACGCTAAGAAGTATCACATTTGTCCAACATGTTAAGCAAAATGAGGATGTGGTGGAGCAGTTTCCCACAAAACGCCACAGGGTTTTCTACATTTAAAAAGATTCGTTTAACAGCTTAAAAACTGCTGACACACGAAGATCTTCACCGTATAGTTCTGCCAAATTACATTTCAGTATGATAACCCCTTATTATTTAAGACACAGGAAACTTCTGTGCATGACTGATATAATAATAATGGTCTATGATAGGGATGTAACGATACCAAAAACTCACGGTACGATAATATCGCGATAACAAGTCCACGGTACGGTATTTATCGCGATATTGAAAAAAGAAATGCAATAAAATATAGAAAAATGTTTGGAACAATTTATTTATTTTTTTACTTGAAAAAATGTTCTTTATTAAATAATAAATCTGATTTGTAGCATTTTAGTAGGATGGTAGTATTTTAAAGTGTCAAAAACAAAGTGACAGTAACAGACTGGAACAAGAACAACCAGTGTTTTTTTACCTATAGTACTACCAGACAAAGCAGGCATTTTCTTTGTGCCACTGCGTCTCACAAATAAACATTTAATAATCAGACCCTGCAATAAAATAAATCAAGTTTCACTTTAGTTTTTCCAGTAACTCAACTCTAACTCACTAAGTCACTCACTCAGCATCATCAGACAGGTTTTCTTTAGGAATATGAGCATGTCCACATTTCCAGGTAGAAGCTGGGATGTTTGGACGTTTACAATATCCCCTGCTGTGGAAAAAACTCTCTCGCTTGGTACTGATGTTGCTGGGACAGCAGTGGTCGCGTTAACCGAATATTTTTTTTTAACAATGACGGAAAAATGTGAAAGCAGTCCGTCATTTCGACAGATTAGAACAAACTCGGAACAGCGCCAAAGTTTCCCCGCAGCGAGGCTCTGGTATTTGCCGTGTTATGCATGCCCTCCAAAAGGAAATGATATAGTTTCCAAACCGTACTTTGTCGTACAGATCATTGAAATGTCTGGGAGTTTTTGCTTTACCCTCTGCGCACTCCCGCGAGGTGCATGCATATCTCGGTGGGCATGCATAACACGGCATAACACCCCCCCCATAACAGTTCACGAGTGTGCTCTCTCTCTCTCTCTCTCTCCCCCCCCCCGTGTCAGCGCGACACGTTAGTGGCGAGTTCAGACCCGACGGGTAATAATGGATTATGACGGAAATGTTACGATCCTGTCTGTCAAAATGACGGACAGTGAAAAAGTCTAACGCCACCTCTGTGGGACAGAGATATGCTTTGGCCATGGGTGACAGCAGTGGGTAAAACTGTGCATTGTCTCTCCACCACTTCAAAAACAATACCGTTTTTGCCAAGAAGGTGAGGCTTATTGACAGGGCGAGATGTAAATATACTGTTGGTACTTGTCAATGTCTCTAGGTATGTACATGTAGCCCTGTAAATACGATGTACTTTTGTGTTATCTGTTGTTTTATGTTCATGTTGTAACCTACTTGCTGCCATGTTGGACAGGTCTCCCTTGAAAAAGAGATCGATGATGGGACCACCTGGTTAAATAATTTTTTTTTTTTTTTTTTTTAAATAACCATGTAATATCGCGGTAGATTTTGTCAGTCTCACAACGGCATTGAGACGTTTATCGCGATACCACGATATTCGGTGTATCGTTACACCCCTAATATATACATATATATATATATATGTATGCAAGTATTGCTAATGCCATTGTTTTGAAGTCTTTGGACATAGTCCTCAGTCTCAAATGCTTAAATTGTTTATGGATGCATTCAAATTTAAGACACTTTTTTTTGCATTAAGTCATACTGGGATGTTGGCTGAAATGTATATATGGCACAGCAGTGATTTGCTTTGTTTGGAAACCGTGTCATACCTTGGAAACCTTCAGAACTCTGTCCTTGAAAGCAAAGTCCGGGTTCTTGACTATGAGCCCCCCCTTCCCCAACATGTGACCATTTAATGGGCTGTTCACCTGTACACACAAACACACAGCTAAGAATATTATTCATATTTTTGGCAGATTGAATATCTTCCAAGGGAAAAAGATAAATTAAAGAATACAAAGTACAACAAAAATACAAAATGCATTAGATAGTAACCCTAAGACATTTTCTAAAACAAAAAAATACCAAGTCTTACCGCCTGTAGGATGACGTTCTCTTTACCAGCTTTTCTTCCCGACTTGGAGTCGATATCTGGGGAGATTTGTCGGAGCCGCCTCTCCCCCGTCAGCTGCTCACCGCGAGCTTTGCGCTGTTACCAAAAGTATCAGGTGGAGAGAAAACGGTTGTAAGTTTAGTTTAGAAATTAAGTTTAGTCATGTTGCTGTAAATATTCGACACAAAGAAATGCATGGTTTATTCAAGGACTCAAATCACAGTTAGTTGTTAGACCACCAGTTGGACCTTACAAAGTTAAGCAGGTGTTTGTTTGAGATGTGTTTAACTTGCAAATGTTAAGAAGAAATGAAAACAACTTGTAATCAATGTTCAGGCACATTTGGAGCTTGCAACTTGTTGACTAAGGTATACTCAGTAGGGATGCTCCGATCACCGGAATCAGTATCGGCCGATCACCGGAATCAGTATCGGCCGATACACACAACTCTTAGTTTGTGTTTTGCTCCGCTCACCGGTCCGTCACAGCGGGTGGAGCTGCAGGATTTCTGCTTCACACACGTTGCATACCGCTATTTTATTGTCATTTTCGGACACCTTAAAATACTGCCATTGTGGCGAGCATGTTTAGCCGCGCACAGAGAAAAGTGTAATGTATTTTACGTCATGTGATCGGCTCTCCTGATCGGCCTTTATAGAGAGCACCGATCGATCGGCAGAGAGTGAATATCTCTGCGGCCGATCGATCGGAGCATCCCTAATATTACATTACATTACATTACATTACATTACATGTCACTTGTTAGACACTTTTATCCAAAGCGACTTACATACTCAATACTGTGGACAATCCCCACAGAAGCCATTTGGGGTGAAGTGTCTCAGGGACACAACGACATGCTGACTGCAGTGGGGTTTGAACCTGTGCTCCCCTGATCCGAACACTATTCCACTGCGCCACACGCCTAATACTCAGTAATTGTTTTTGTTTGGCTTGGCTTTTGATTAGTGCACCAAGTGTTTGCTATTTTAAACCTGGCTCCATGAGTCCAATATAATGTATTTATAATAATATATCCTGGCCAATTTTATCCATGAAAGACGACCGCAACCATATCCTTGATGTTCACTACTAAAAAGCACTCTTTAACTCTTGTAAAACATTACAGCAATGACTCCGAAGTTTGACATGATCTTGGTTCCATTCATAAAAAGTGGAAATCATATATTTTGTTGTGCTTAACGTCTTGTTCTTCTTGTCATTGTGACTTTCCCGGATGGTTAAGTACCTTGATGAGGCCTCCAAAGGAGCGGGAACGTGGGTGTTTCTTGCTGGCAGTGGGGGGGACCTGAAGCCGGTCGTTGGTAGGCGTCCCTGAGGTTGTCTGTTTGACTAACTGCACATAGAAAGAAGAAAAACATCACTTAGTTTCACACACACTCTGAATCATAGTGACATGCAAGCTGTCTTTCTCTCTTTCATGCTGTAACAAATGTAAATGTCCGATCTGTGGGAAGAATAAAGGTATTCTGATTCGGGTGCATTCAGGTTATACATGTTTTCAGTTCATCGAGCAGAGCTTTAAGACGTTAAAATAAGACCCCGAGTTGAACCTGTCTGACGAGTTTCTTCTTCTTGGCGGAGTCGGGCATGCTGTGGTTGACGTGTCTGAAGAGGTCCTTCAGAGCCTCCTCTGTGTACTGCTGGGCCGGGGACTGGCACTGCTCCTGGGGGGGGGGCTGACCTCTTCAGGGGCAACACGGTCGGCTGAGCAGGAGATCTGCTGGCTGCAAACAGCTCCAGATCATCCTGAGTGAGGAGAGAGGAGAGGGGGAGGGGGTGTCAGACTGGCTGTGGACTTTGAGGATGGAACTGCTGTGTTGATATTTGATTCAGACACTTGTTTGCAATTGTAGCGTTTCAGGTACGGCTCAAAAACACACCCGTTTGCTATCCTGGCTCTTAAATGGTGGGACGGGCTCCCCATTGTCTTCTTTTGCAAACTGAAAACCCATCGGTTTCAATTGTACCCCAAGTACCCCTAGGGGTCCACATACCCCAGGTTGGGAACCACTGCGATAATGTTTACTAACCTTGGTCTGCAGAGCCTTGGTGCCAGTGAAGTGCATTCTGGCGTATTCCCGCAGGTAGACTGGAGCCTGAACAACATGCAGCAAACAGTCACTCATCCACATGGTAAACATTTAACCCGTCACATGTTACGTTTCTAAAGCCACATTTGTTTCTGTGCTTGAGTAAAGGAGAATAATAATCACCCTGAAGAGCTTCTGTGAGTGTTTGATGAGGAAGGCCATGCTGCTGTTCAGTTTCTTCAGATTGTCTTTCAGGTCACAAGCGGTCATCTACAGCAGGAGAGAAAACAGAATACATAAAGTGCTATTTAGAGATTTAGACCACTATTGGACAGGAATACAATATCGTTTAAGTATGTTTCACCAACAGATAGCAGGGTAGTACATACGAGTTGTTTTCTTTATATTGCCATTGCTTTAAAAAGAATAGGATTGCTTTATTCAGGGTCAGGTTATTTATTTGTACCCATATTATTTGCTTAGTTAATTGATGCAATGGCAGCTGGAACAGAGCTGTTTATTCATACTGAAAAGCAGCATGCTACCACGACCCCTTCCTATAGCACTGCGACAAAATGAAACTGCCTCTAAATTCTACACAGAGTAGCTTTAAAGACAATGTTTAAATGGCCGTTTTCATGTAATGTATGAATATTATACTTTACTCTGTTTCCCACATATTGTGTAAATATTGTATTTATTTTTTCATTTGTCAAAATTGTCTTTAAATCGTTTTGTTTATAGCTTTTGTAATAATAATGTAATTTGCTACATATTCTGCTTTCTGTGTCTCTGTATGCACCATTTATACCAAAGCAAAATCCTCATATGCGTAAACCTACTTTGTAATAAAGCAGAATCTGATTTGTGTTAAATAAGTCTGCTCCCAAATCGAAGAAAAATAAAAATTGTCTAGATCTGCGATTTCGGTCAATGTGAAGCCCCTTGGTCCTTGAACCCTGGTCATGTAGTTCCAATGATAAATCTTACGTGTCTGGGCCAGACGACGTGCGGCGCGAACATGAGGGCCAGGTTGAAGGCGGACATCTTGTTCTTGTCCTGCTGCCTGGCGGTGTGGTAGAGCAGGTCCAGGAGCAGTTTGAGCAGGGACCGGTTGGCCTGAGGTAACAGCAGGAAGAGGAGCTGCAGGGCTTCTATCTGACGCTCCTTGTTGGGCAACGCAGTCTTGTTCCCGAGTTCGTCAAACAGAGTCAGATCTGGAGGGGGAGGAAGTAAAGTCATGAATGAATTTACAAAAAAAAAAAAAGAAAAAAAAAAGCTCTATTGAGTACAGCAGGGGTCGGCGGGTAAGTTTGGCCAAAATTCTGAGCCACTAGATGGCGGGCCAGAACATAATCAAAGGCTAATTTAAGTAATTGATTGTTAAAATCGCTGCAGTTATTATCCAGTGGAATGCCCTTACCTACTGGCCTAGTTAAATCAAAGTCAGTGTTTCCCCTACCATTGTCTTGGAGGGGCGCTGCGCCCCGCCAACAGAGCCCCGCACCCCCACTGAAATTGAAGGTGTTTTTTATTTATATGTATATAGCACCAAATTGCAACTAATCTATATCTACTGTCACTTTTCACATTGAACATGTGTTCGTTTATTAAATAAACTAAACGCTTTCATTTTAAGTTGTGAGTTTAGTGTTTTTGACCCTAAGAAACACTGATGCATTAATAAATAACAATAATCCACAGCTCCTCTCTCTCTGCTCCAGAAGATAGAGAGAGATATATATATATATATATATATATATATGATTCAATGCCGAGTACAGCCAAACTTGACAGTCTCTTCTGTCACCGTCCCGTTCAAATGAGATCCCTGCCAATCACATTTCCCCCTCGCGCCAGGGGGAGGGCTTACAAAGATCGAGTCTTGTGCTGCATTCACTTGCACTCGGACATTAGGGATTTTCTCTCATAAATGTCCGATGAGCCAAAACTTTTCTTTCAAAACAAAGCAAATTTTCCGGGCCAAATATTATTGCTGGCGGGCCAACAATGGCCCGTGGGCCGCCTGTTGCCGACCCATGGAGTACAGTATCAAAAAATGCAACCAGGGAAGAGATAAAGTCACCCCAGTTAATGACAATATTTGTACTCTCTGTGGGCCGATTTTGATTAATTTTGGGTTGATTTGGAGGATCTGGATCATTTGGGTTGGACAGATTGCTTATTTTTTGAAAACATAATTGTCCATAGTAGAGATAATAATTTTCATCTTGTGCTCTCTATAACAACTACTCATGGTAGTCAATAAATCAGCCCACTGAGACAGGGTATATGCAGGAATCCTGAAGTCAAATGTAAACCCTTTTAAGACCTTTTTTAAGACCCTTTCCACACATTTTAAGACCTCATCGCCACGTTGAGTTCTAACCGGTTACCTTGGCGACACACTTTACCTCACATTTACTATATTCAGTATTGATTGTCCTTCCTCCTTATCTTCCAACCATTTGGACGCAGACTTGCATTTCCCCATAACGATGTTGTTTAACAACCGGCGTAAACGGACCTTCGCGCGCTATCAAGCAGTGAGCGTGCGATGTCCTGTTCAGATGACGTCAAACCCAACGGGATGCCATAAATAAACTACACAGAATCACACTACACACCTACGCAATGATTACATTCAGGCAGACTGTAGAATACAACCTCTTTGGACAATTTATATACTTATTGAAAACAAGCTACAAAATGTAATACCTTGGAAAATGCCGTTTAATACTTTTTAATAGCCTTCATTTTCGTTAAATTGATTTATCAACTTGTAATACTTTTTAAGACCCCGCGGACACCCTGTGAGAGTACAAATAGTCCCACTTTCTGGTTAAAACTGCAATTTGTGATCCTGAAAATGTCAGAAATGGACTCCGCATCCTCAATAACCCCCAAAACCACTCCAAAAGTGTCCAAATAGGCAAAGTCATTATTAACTATTGGTTACATAGGCTATAAGGCCATTCATTTTAATTAACGCAACTTATGCTAATTGTGCAAATTGCCCTACATATACAAGTTAGCATCCAGCAGTTTATACGTGCTGGGGACCCAGAATATACATTTCTAACATAAAATGTTGGTGTACTCAACATTTCCGGGTTCACTATTCTGGAAACGTTGTGTATTCATACCGGCTATCTTGAGGTGTGCGTGAAAGTGTCTTTGTGTGAGCAGGGGCTCGGGCAGCTCTCCCAGGAAAGTCTTGAGCAGCGTGGCCACGTCATTGGGGTGAAAGTCTCCAGACTCCAGATCCACATCCACCCCGCTGTTCAGGAGCTCCTTCAGGGTCTGCTGCCGGACGCTGTTCCCCGGCACCCGAAACAGACCCTCCACGTGCAGATCTGAGTGAGTAAGAGCAGGTGAAAACGTAAAACATCTGATCATTTATTTGTGTTTTTTTTTTTTATTTCAAAGCTAGCTAGGACAAACGGAAAACATGCCATCCACACAATTTTAAAACAAAGAGAATGAAATGCTGTCCGGGTTGATCAGTGGTGCTGAATTACTGCAGGACAAAAGGCTTGTTCTTTGTACAGAAGGAAGTGTATTATCTATTATGTGTAAAAAGAAAACACATATTTTTTCAGGAAGTTGTTTAAACATCACTAAGCAGTTACTGAACAAAATTGTATTTATGTATTTATTCAAAATAACTTACTTTTGCTGAGGTACTCGATGAGCTGGTAGATCTGGGCAATGCAGATTTCTGTTAGTGGGGTTCCAAACACAACCCCTTTATCTGCGAAAGTAATAGGAAACATGAGTGATCATATTATAACTTACTAAAAGAAGAATTTATGGAACAAAGACAACACAAAAGCCCCATCACATACAAACTGGTTAAAGCAGCTGACATTAACACCAATGACCATCTCATCTATACATCCCATTGAAGGACATATTAGTAAATGAGATTTGATAGACTTTATTCACGACAAATTGGAAATTTTATGAATGTTTGTGAGGAAAATAATTTGAAAAAAGGCTTGAAAGCTTGCATTAAAAGTAGGGATGCTCCGATCGCCAATTTTGGGGCCGATCGCCGGAATCAGTATCGGCCGATACCGATCCGATCGAGTGGGCGGGTCCTATGGGTATCTTCCATTTAAAGTGATGTTTAAAACTCAGTTAATGCTCATTCACTGGCGCTTCCACAAACAACAACCAACATAATTATTACATTCAAATGAAGTACATTATTCAAGTTTACATTAACTTGGGATAATAACACGGGAGAAATGCTCTCTCTCTCTGCAGCTCACTGATCCAGTAATGAGTGACCCGACAGTAAAGAATAAATATATGTATAACTAGTTTAGCTAGTTCCAGAGGTAGATAAAATAGCTAAGTGTGTTAGGTCTAACTCTTGTGTGTTGCTCCGCTCACCGGTCCGTCACAGCGGGCGGAGCTGCAGGATTTCTGCTTCACACACGTTGCATACCGCTATTTTACTGTCTTTTTCGGACACCTTAAAATACTGCCTGACCGGTGAAGCCATGTTGGCGAGCTTGTTTTGCCGCGCACAGAGAAAAGTGTCATGGATTTTACGTCATGTGATTGGCTCTCCTGATCGGCATTTATAGAGAGCACCGATCGATCGGCAGAGAGTGAATATTGGCCGATATCGATCGGCGATCGATCGGAGCATCCCTAATGAAAAGTAAAGATGATTCGCTTGTTTGTTAAGCAGCTGTTGAACTAAACATTTGTTTGACATTTTCCCTTCATTATAGGCAAATGTTACAACAAAAAACAACGAACCAACAATTACTAGTTTACAACTGTTGGGAGGGTTCTCAGATGAAAATTACAACAGTTCTTATAAATAGTTCTGCAAATATCAAATTGTGAAAACAAAAACAGAGAGGGGCTTTCACAGTTCCTATTGCAAGAGTTAATGTCTAGAGGTCACATAGTTGACCTTTTACCTTTGCGTTTGAGGAAGTTGAAAGAGCGAAAGAAGCCTCCATTTCCACCTGTTGGGGTCTTCGGGCCCTCCTCACCAAGGAGCTGTGCAAACTCTGTCCCGGGAAGATCTATGAGGCGAGTGATGTTACTTAGTACCAGCTCCAAGAATATTTCTGGGTTCTCGTGACGGAGTTTCTCCACAAAAAAGTCTGGGTTGAATATGACTGGAGGTCGGCTGGGACGAGAGCCACCAGGTGATTCTTCATGATTAATCACCATACTGCTCACTGGACCTCTGGGGGGATACACAGGAAATAGGTAAGAAACATAGGCTGGGTAATATTGAAAGTTAAAAACTGCAGCTTTATGGGTCCATCTGTTCTTAAAAAAAGTCTGTAATACTAAGGGTTCTTTGTTGTATACACGCCTGCGGAAAATCAACTACATAACCAATTAAAATACTTAAGATGCTGCGCTCAAAAGCCAGAGATATTGCAATCCCGATGACATTGGGGTTATTTTTGAAGACTTTAAAAAGCTCCCTCCAGAACCACACAAGACAATATCCTATGGTTTTCACATGCCGCAGTACTCCTCTATACAAGTAAATGAGTACGAGTAACCTTTCGATTGCAGTGCTTTTACTTGTAACTGAGTATTCCTAAACTCTGGTACTTCTACATTTAGTAAAGTACAAGATCTGAGTATTTCTTCCACCTCTTTTACTCCATTAACTGTTAGTTACTTCACAGATGTGGATGAATGATGTGAAATATATAATCAAGTGTTAAATCAGACTTCAGTTCCACCTGGAGTAAATTCTCAAGCTACCCTGCAGTATACAAAGTAATTCAAACTAGCTGCACCTTTAACACTTTCATGATCAATCATTATAAAACATATCATATATATTATTCTGAAATGGACAAATCTGCACAATCACTACTTTTACTACTTTAAGAAAATGTTGATGCTAATACTTTTCTAGTTTTAGTTGAGTAACATTTTGATTGCAGGACTTTTACTTGTCACAGAGTATTCCTACACTCTGGTACTTCTACTTTTACTCAAGTACTTCTCTGGTCTGCACACAATGCTTAAAACTAGCTAACCTACATTGTATTTAGCTAACGGGTATAGTCAGTTGGTAACGACAACAGTGCTAACGTTAGCTAATACAAGCTAAACATTCCCACCAACGTTGCTCAACTTATTTCCGAAGTAAACAGTTGAATACATAGCAACAATGTCTAGCCACAAAGTTGTATTTGACCAAACTGATTGTCAGTTGTTTTACGGTAACGTTGAACAGCTAACGTTAGCTAGCTAGCAAACAAATGACTTTGTTGACGGCTAACGTTCGAGATTGACAGCCCTTTGTTATCAGTGTCACACACGTATGTTCCCCACTTTAAAATGTGTCAAGTTTAGTTTAGCCCTTGAGTAAAGCTGCGTTAATGCAGATAACGTTCTAATAATAATGTTTGTGTTTTTTTCTTACCTTCTATTTTGTGTGTTTTCATCGACATCCTTGCCCGCAGCCATGTTCGGTTTGAATCCTCCGCTGTTATCGTGTAGGCCCCGCCCTCCTAGTCGCCGATTGGTCACTTGCCGAATGTGGGCGTGACGTAACGGGTCTGATTTGCATGTTCCTCACTGTGATTGGTCGGTTTGAATTCGGAAGCTTTACCAAGAGGCAAACAGCTTCTGCATGTAACATCCTTATATACAGACAGTCTATCTATTGTAACATCTACCTAAATGCTATTCATAAATACATTTAAAAAACTGCAGTAATACTTACATGCTAAATCGCAATTCCTTACTGTATTTCAGTTGAAGAGTTATTTGTGAAATGTCACACACATATCTAAATCTCCTTAATAATCATGTTGTCTCATACTTTTGTTGGGGCACATTTGGAAAAAGGGTTAGACAAATGATCAAGTTAAGTACAATGCAGAGAAACAGACAGTAGTGGTGGTAAAAACGACATTTACTCAAGAACTGTACTTAAGTATTATTATTATAAGTTAGAGTTCCTTGTACTTCATTGAGTATTTTTGATTGTGTGCTACATTGTACTTTAATGTATACAGTCTATACCTATACTTTTTATAGGGACATATTGTCAATTTTGACCACTACATTCATTTCAGAGTTTAGTTGAAAGATACTTTGCTTTTTTTTTTCAATTGTGGTATTAGATAGATAGATAGATAGATAGATAGATAGATGGATAGATAGACAGATATAGATAGATAGATAGAGAGATCGATAGACAGATAGACAGATAGATAGATAGACAGATAGACAGATAGATAGATAGATAGATGGATAGATAGAGAGACAGAGAGAAAGATAGATAGCTAGATAGCTAGATAGATAGATAGATAGATAGATAGATATTTTGCAAAGCAAGTCAAGTCTATATGTTTATTTTATGGAACGTTTTTTGATTGAAACTATCAAGGCAACACTCTTAGCATGTAGGGCCCAAGGATCATTTCTTCTTTCTACGTAGGGATTAACATGCATCCACCTGTTCATGCACATTTATATCGTAAAGGGGAAGAAAGCCTGGCCAGTTTTAAACAGTTTATTTTCTAACGCAATCGAAAAAGAAACTTCAAAGACCACATCCTCCTTTTGAATATAGAAATGTTTTTTGGTGACTTACTTACATACAGTGTTTCTTATGTGCTTGATCTACGTGCTGATTTATCAGAGGCGTGAGGAGCAGCTATGAGTTTAACAGCAGCAACGAGAGGGTTTGTCGTCTTCCTGCTCTCTGTACAAGGTACTGTACATCTACACTGTATAAAAAGATTTGATCAATAAGTTATTGTAATTTTTTTCTTTAAGTTACTTTCACCTTATATAACGATTTATGCCATTTCTACTGAATTCCATACGTTGTAATTATTTCAACTTAGCTTTAAAAGCCAGTTTAATGACCTATAAATGACAGTGTATGTTTTCATTGTAAGGCACTGAGCACACTAAAACTGAAACAGAAGAATTGTTTTTTTCAACACAAGCAGCATCTTTGTACACTTCACTCTTTATAAACTCAAGTATTGTGCACCTTTAAAGATAGTAAAACTGTGTTGGTGTGGATGAAAGTAATGATTGTACATAGCTTCATTAACAGAAAAAATAACCGTCTAAATAAATTCATCGTTCAGTGGAACTTCCTCTATCTACCTGCGGTCATTAACTCATCTTAAAGGCATCTAGACTACGTTTAGAGACTTTTAGATCTCTGATTTATAATGATCAATAATACATAAAACACAAAATACATTAAAATGATCCTTTCTCCTTTTGTAATAAAACACAAAAAAGAGAGATTTCTTATTGCAGAAGATGCAGATTAATGAGATTAGCGTGGTGTTAAAGTAATCTTTACTTTTTTTGTAATCAATTTCAGATACACAATTTTTAGGTTTGAGTAGAGCAAAATTACAATTCTGTGTTTAGGGTTCACAAAAATAGTTATCATTAATCTTAATTGTATGTTTGTGATGACTTCTGAAAGCCATTAACAGTGAAATGCTTAAAGATATACAGATACAATTTCCTCAGTGCTGAACACAGCTTTCATTTTAAGTTAAAAACAGATAGTTGCATCAACCAAGTTAGAGAACGTAGTTTCAATAAATTGCTGTTCCTTTAGTTCCTCCGTATGATGTCCTTCCTCAATGCATTAGATAAACTGCACATCTATAATGTGTCGTGCCTGCATCTTGTGACGATATTGCAGTCACAAAAATCAAAGCACACAAAGACACCGACACACACACCAACACACACACACACACACACACACACACACACACACACACACACACACACACACACACACACACACACACACCACACACACACACACACACACACACACACACACATTGCCTTACTCCATTGTCATATCATGTGATGTTGTTATGAGTGATAATAGTTTCTGATGTGCTCTGTGTTTCAGTGGTTCAGGGTCAGGATGGCTGGGGAGTGACTTACACTTCTACTGAGATCTGTGCAGTGAAAGGATCAACAGTGGAAATAGGCTGCAGCTACACACCCCCGTCTAGATCGTATTTCAGTTCTAGAAAACAAATCTGGTTTACTAAAATGAATAATGGTGAATTTGTAGATCTTAGATCAGACTCAGACTATGCAGGTCGTGTGCAGTACAGTTATAACTACAACGACTGCACTCTGAGAATCTCCGACCTGAGAGAGAGCGACTCAGCTGAGTACAAGTTCAGGATTGACCAAGAAGCTTTCAAATATACTGGTTCACCTGGAGTCACTTTGTCTGTCACAGGTAACATTTTCCTTTATGTTAGTTATTTCCAAATGTTTAGCACCTAGAAACATAACATTCCTGTTTCCTCTTCATGAATCCAGGTGTCATGGTGCATGTGCCTGTGCAAGTGCAGATGAGCAGACATTTTGTCAAGGCAGGGCTGAAGTGTCAAAGCAGTTGTCGTCTACCTGATAGTTCTTCCTACGTCTGGTACGAGAACGAGAGAGTTCAGACTGGACGGACATCTTCTTCTTATTCAATTTACTATGATGCTGGAGACAGCTATTCCTGTGCTGTAAACGGACATGAGAACCACCGTTCTCCTTCAGTGTGTAAGTTCACTCAGTACGGACACATTTTCACACAGTACAATCACAATAAGACATAGAGTAATTTCAATTGACTTTCCAAATCTTAATGTAGACACAGCAGCATTAAGTATTACAACAAAAAGCTAAATTACCAAAAGAAATGCAATATTGAGATACATGTTGTGATGTGCTGCAGAGAAGCTGGATACAATAACATGAAACTGGTCGGTAACATTTGCAAAACGAAAATATTAACGAGAACCTTTTTCCAAATTAACCTTAAAGGTGGGGTAGGTAAGTTTGAGAAACCGGCTCGAGATACACTTTTTGTTATATTCCATGGAATGCTCTTAACATCCCGATAGCAATGAATATCTGAAGTGCTTTGACAAAAGATCCATAAAAAAATGTCATCTGTGGAAGCCGTAGTACTGTAAAAAGCACGACCAATCATTTTAGCCGGGCCGGCTAAAATAACTGGATGGCCTACCTGCCTGTCAGCCTTCCATCTGTGCACAAACTTATCTCGTGCCCTCATTGGTCATGTGCGCGTTCGTGTGTGTTGGAGGAGGGGCTCTGTAAGGAAGTCTGAAGGAAGGGGCAGATTTTTTCCAGCTGTGTATTTTCAAATTCTAGCGCACTCGAGCTGATTTCTCCAAAATGACCTACCCCACCTTTAAGGTTTACTGTGCATCCCCCAATAGACTTTAATCACATGTTTTCGGGTCTAAAGTGTGATGGGTCCAGGATCTGCACTTTGAAACACACTAACCTGGAAAAATGTATGTTATTATTTCTCCTCCAGATCCTCCAAAGCTTCCCTCTGTGTCAGTGAGTCCCTCTGCTGAGATAGAGGAGGGCAGTTCAGTGACTCTGACCTGTAGCAGTGATGCTAACCCAGCAGTTAAATACACCTGGTACAAGAGGATTGGCAAACCAATCCTTCCTCCTTTCAAGAAAGTACCACAGCTTGTCTTCAGCTCCATCCATTCCTCTGACTCTGGACAGTATTACTGTATAGCTGAAAACAATCTGGGGAAGAAGACATCTAAAGACATCTTTATTCATGTGAAATGTGAGTGAAGTTCTAATATGTCCAGTCTTTGCAGAAGAAGATTCTAATAAGTATAACTTCTTTCTTGAACTCTACTTGTTTTACACATGTACAGTCTGCTGTAATTCTCTGAGCAGCTTCAACAGATTCCAGGTGTTTTGGGATCAAACATTCAATTGTCAGACCAGCTTCTAAATCTAAAATGCAGCTACACACAGCTCATCACAGTTTGTAACACCACTTGTACTGTAAAACACCCTAAACTTAAAATAACCTTTGTAGCACTTCCCCTGCAGATCCTCCAAAGCTCCCCTCTGTGTCAGTGAGTCCCTCTGCTGAGATAGAGGAGGGCAGTTCAGTGACTCTGACCTGTAGCAGTGATGCTAACCCAGCAGCTAACTACACCTGGTACAAGGAGAATGGAAAAGTGTTTCTGGGAGCAGTAGGAAGTTATAATTTCATCTCCATCAGCTCTGAGGACAGCGGGATCTACTACTGCAGGGCTGAGAATCAATATGGAGAGGTCAACTCTACGTATCTATTTGTAGATGTCCAGTGTGAGTAAAAAAATAAGTGAGTTTTCCTGTAGGGGGCACTAAAGACAACCTAGTATGTCTCATGTAAACAGAACTATTTCTACACCTTTTCTTCCAGATCCTCCAAAGCTCCCCTCTGTGTCAGTGAGTCCCTCTGCTGAGATAGAGGAGGGCAGTTCAGTGACTCTGACCTGTAGCAGTGATGCTAACCCAGCAGCTAACTACACCTGGTACAAGAAGAATGAAGACTCTCCAAAAGCTTCAGGACAGATCCTCAACATCACTGACTTCAGAGCTGAACACAGTGGGAGTTATTCCTGTGGAGCCCAGAACAAGTTAGGACGTCGTAACTCCAATTTACATCAGATTATTTTGGCAGGTAAATTCTCCACCTGACTAATTGGAAGATTAACAGATAGTATCACCCAGCAAACTAGGGAAGAGATACTCAGATACTCAGATCCTCTGGAAACATCTACCACCTTTAACCAGTGGTGGAAAGTAAACAATAACATCTCTTTAAGGACAGTACATTTTAGGAAAGGTATAAACTTTACTTGAGAATAAACGTAACTTTATTTTAGTATTTATATTTTATGTAACTTTATACTTTTTAATCCATCACATTAATTGTACATCTTGAGAAACTCACTACTTTACAGATTTTGATCATTGATCATTAAAAATACTAATGATTATTCAAAAAGTACTCCATGGTGATTTCTGATGGACAAAATGTTTGGTGTCCACAGCTAATGTTAAATTGACCAGTGAACTTCCTGTGGATTCATTTGTCTGCACATAGTCCCTTATCATTGGTCTGTTCTCCTTAGCAACAGTCTGTTAGCAAAAAATAGCTATATACTTTTGGAATGTCCAAATTGGCCAATCAGAATTGAGTATTTAACCTAGACGTGAAATTCAGCAGGTAAATAACAGTACAGTATCTCACAAGTATTTATCTCCATGTCTAGATAAATCAACAATGATCATGAACATCACCAGGTTGACTCTGATGGTTGTGATGCTGATTCTTGTTCTTCTTTTCTGTCTCTTGATGAGGTGAGAAAAAAACCTTAAAATATTTACTTACTTTTAGAGTTTTTCGATTAAATGTTTTGATGGTTTGTTTTTGGATTTAATTCAGGAAGGAGAAAGCTGTGAGCTTCAACACTGAACTGAATGAACCCATAGAGGTGGGAGAGAGACTCATGCACTTATTCTGTCATTAATGTTTATGGTCATAAAGAAGATTGAAATGTAACTTGATGAGTAACACCTTTCTTAATAGATGCACCATTGTGTATTTACCTTTAAAGATTGTCCAACTAGATGGTGTAGCAGAAAGCAATTTAAGGAAACAGTTTGTTCTGTTTTTTAGATTCAATGTAATTGCATCCAAATGATGGCCTCTGACTCTCCTCTCGTTGTCTCTCCATCAGTTAGACCCTTGTTCTGTGTATGAGAACGTCTCAGACCTGAACATGGTTTCTGCAGAACAGACAGAAGAACCAGAGGAGCAGGAGGACCTGGTGTGAAGGTCAGCCAGCTCTCACTCAGCTGTGATTTATTTCAGATGCATCAACCCAGAGAGAGACTCACCTGGATGAAACAGCAATTAGAAGTAGTGGGAGGAGTTTGCAGTAAAAGTCAGAGAATATGATTATAATGCTTTATTTTTAAGTGTGCAGGTACATTACATATGTTCAGGATTTAACTTGATGTGCAACATGCTTTTTCATTCAGATTTTAATGTAATAAATAGCTTTTAAACCATTATTTTGAATCATCTTAAATGGAGTTTATATGATATTCAAAATCAATGAAAATGTAATCACGGTTTCTCTTCTTCTTTATTTCCTCCTCCATCAAACAATTGTAATTCTAGTTTTGGCATCATGAATAGAATTTTCTTTAATAGTCTTTTAGGAGTAAGAAAACTATGAAATATGAATGTTTGTGACCCCTGTAACATCTCTGTAATAAACCTACAGTATTTCTTGTAAAGCAGTTTTCATCACATTTGGATTTTAATAACACGATGCAAGTAAATAGAATTTCTATTAGTTGGCAGCTTCAGTGTTTAATAGCCATTGTTTTTATACCACTGAGCTCTGGCAAGAACATCTTTGGAGTAGTCTCCACCATGCGTGTTGGCATCCACACCATCATAGGAATGGACATTTCCATCACCCATATTGTAGGCGGCGATCCCTCCTGTAAGGCAAGGCAAGGCAAGGCAAGGCAAGGCAAGTTTATTTATATAGCACCTTTCAACACAAGGTAATTCAAAGTGCTTTACAAAAATGGAAGACATTTTAAAAATGGCATTTAAAATCAGTCATTAAAAAGGAAAGATAATAAAATAAACATTAAAAGAAAAAATACATGGATAAAAGTTAAAAGTTACAGTGCAGTTTAAGATGTGAATAGTTCAATTAAAAGCAGCGGCAAAAAGAAAAGTCTTCAGCCTGGATTTAAAAGTAGTAAGAGTTGCAGCGGACCTGCAGGTTTCTGGGAGTTTGTTCCAGATATTCGGAGCATAATAACTGAATGCTGCTTTACCATGTTTAGTTCTGACTCTGGGGACAGAAAGCTGACCAGTCCCTGAAGACCTGAGGGTTCTGGATGGTTCATAATTTAGCAGTAGGTCAGACATGTATTTTGGGCCTAAACCATTCAAAGCTTTATAAACCAGCAACAATATTTTGAAATCTATTCTTTGACACACAGGAAGCCAGTGTAAAGACTTCAGAACAGGAGTGATGTGATCCACTTTCTTAGTGTTAGTGAGGACTCGAGCAGTGGCGTTCTGAATTAGCTGCAGCTTTCTAATAGATTTTTTAGTGAGACCTGTAAAGACACCATTGCAGTAGTCGAGTCTACTGAAGATAAAAGCATGGACAAGTTTTTCCAAATCCTGCTGTGACATTAGTCCTTTAATCCTAGATATGTTCTTTAGGTGATAGTAGGCTGATTTAGTAACTGTTTTAATGTGACTGTTGAAACTCAGGTCAGAGTCCATGACTACACCTAGATTTCTGGCTTTATCTGTTGTTTTGAACATTGCAGACTGAAGCTCAGCGCTAACTTTTATACGTTCTGCCTTGGCTCCAAAAACCATTACCTCAGTTTTATCTTTGTTTAATTGGAGAAAGTTCTGACACATCCAGTCATTGATTTGTTCAATGCACTTACTCAGTGTTTGAATTGGAGCATAATCTCTGTAAAGACAAACACAAATGAGAAACACAGCAGAAAATTGTGACGAGAATTTCTGATCCAGTGAAACCAACCTCTCAGATTTTGCGCTCTGCTCCAGGTAGGAAATTTCGTACTGATCCGACCGATAAAATAAACCAATATTTCCGTGGCTTGGTTGAGGTGCTCCTCACTGTCCCAATCACCACGTGGAGTGTGATTGCCTCCATTTGGAGTCACATCAACCTAAAGAAATGGAAATGTTTTTATTTTATTGTAATTTGAAGCTCTACTAAGACGATGCGATAAAAAAAAAGAAGTTCTAACAACCTGCATCAGTCCCCAGGCTTTACCATCGTCTCCCCAGCCATTCTTTAATGTATATCCAGCCGCGGACTCCCTGGAGATGATGGCAGCGATGAGAGATGGCTCAATTTGATATCTACCTCCCACTCTCTTGATCATAGGCTTGTATTTTTCCATTCTTCCACTATCATGCTGTGCCAAGGTCTGATATGACGGCATACCTTTGAAAAGAAACCAAAATATGCCCTTAGTGCAACAAATCTATTTCCCTGTGAACATACAGAAAAGTTGATACTATGTTAAAGGGGTCCTATTCTGCATATTTTCAAGATTCATATTTTTATTTACTGTGACCTGTCTCCATGCTTTAATGTTCAAAAAGCTCTTTATTTTTCTCATACTGCCTGTGCTGCGGCACCTCTTTTCACCCTCTGTCTGAAACCAGAGCCCAGTCTGCTCGGATTGGTTAGCTGGCCGGCTCTGTTGTGATTGGTCAACCGTTTAGAGATGTGCCGCACCTTCACGTTCATTATGTTGGAGTGTTAGCCAATAGGAGCGCAAGTGTTACATGGTGATGTCAATATGTTACAGTCCTAAAACCCGGAAGTCATTTTCGAATCATAAATCTATCGATCATAAATCTATCGATTAGATTTATGATTATAAAATTATAAAGTAGGGTAGACATGTGGAGATTACCCGGCTGAACAAAACATGATCCGTCTCTTCAATGTGTGTCAACCACAGACCTTATTTCGAGCTATTTTCCAAAGTCCTATGGAGAAATTGCATTGGTTTTTGTTGAAGGAACCGGAAGTGGTAAAATGCTAACTTACTTCCGGGTTTTAGGACGCGTCACTGTGGCACTCTATATGTTACAGTAGTAAAGAAAGCAGTGTTTGGGAGAGAACCTCTCTCTAATGGGAACTTTGGGAATGTTATCTTTGCAGACCATTTACATACACACAAACCTACAGTATATATATCATACAGGAAAGGGAAAACCCCAAAAAGCGGAATAGGATCCCTTTAAGATGGAGATGTTTGATAACTTTTTATAGAATTTCTAATTATTCAGCTTGTGTGTCTTGCAGTGATTACTTGAATATCCAAGATTGTCCTGATCAGATGTTCGCTTGGAAACCCCTTCAGTTTCAACGTCCTTTACGCTGGCGTAACCTGGTAATGATACGCTTATTACTGTAGATCAGTTTTCATTCACATAAGCCTTGTTGTAGGAAGAGTTTAGAAGCTTTTACTTCAGTTAAAGTACTAATACTACACAGTATAAATACTTTTTTACATTTAACATTTTAAATTATTAGTAAGTATAAAAAGCAATATGTACTCAAAGTGTTACAAGAAAAAATATATATAATATATAATATATATATTCAAAAAGCAAGATTAAAACTCGATAATTATTCAACAATAAATAAGACAATTATTTGATTGTTTAAAGATGGCAAATCATTTCCTGTCTGTTTATAATATATGATGTTGTGATGTTCAATATATTGTAAACAAAAATCGAAATCTCTAAAGTAACTAGAGCTGTTAAAAAAAAGTAGTCGAGTACATATTTCAATATTTTCTTTTGAATAAGTAAAGAAAATACTCAAATAAAGTACCATTACCTCACATTTGTACTTAAGTGCAATATGCAAGTTAATTGCGTTCCACCACTGGACACATTGACTTGAGGGGACTTTTCAGCAGTATGGGAATATAATAAAGTGCATTTACTCCAGTACTTAAATACAATTTGGAGGTATTTTATACTTTACAGGTTCAGAATATTAGCTAATACCAAATATAAATGAAGTAATAAGTCACAATTTACATATAATTATAATGAAGTTATCCAACAATCATAATCCGGGTCCTTTAGAACCAGTGTTGGGACTAACGCGTTACAAACTAACGCGTTACTGTAACGCAACTACCTTTTGCGGTAACTAATAACGTTACTAGTTACCTATTCCCATTCAGTAACGCCGTTATAGTTACTGTGATTTAAATGGGTGCGTTACTGCGTTACATTATGTGATCCAACTGAACCGAATCTCCGTGCGGATGTAATTTACAGGCGAATACAGTGATGTCCTCTCACAGTACCATGGAAAAGTGAAAGTGATCAGAGAGGAGTGTTGATTGGTTAACGCGGGGTAACATTTCAGGGTAAGCCAATAAGAGACAGAGTTGGGCGGGTCTTGCCTTATGGGGAAAATACACAGACACACAAACACTTGCTAACACACACACACATACACGGAAACGCCCACCACCACCAGCACACACACACACAATGGCAGATGCAAGTATCAGCGAGAGCAGCAGCGCATTTACAACTTGGAGATATAACCACTTTTTTCAATTTGTGGGGATAAAGGACGCAAAAAATATTACGGTCAAATGTAAACTGTGTGCAGGACAGAAATCATTGTCCACGTCGAATAACAGCAATGCCCATCTCCTGAAGCACCTAACTAATGTACATGGGGCTATAAAACTAGTCTTACTGTGCCACAGAACAACACAAAAACTTGTATTTTTATTGTTATTATTTTTAAAGTAAAGTAAAGTAACTTGTTACTAGTTACTTTTATAATTTAGTAACTAATAAAGTAACTAGTTACTTTTTTGAGAGCAGTAACTATAAATATTACTAGTTACTTTTTAAAAGTAACTTGCCCAACACTGTTTATAACTATGTAAGTCAATATCTACTGTGAACCACTTCCTTTGAATAGTAAGTACAATATACGAAGTGCACATGAAAAAATTATAAAAGACAGGTGCAGTCGAGGCGTGTGTTACTATCTTACACTTTTGAATGAAGTTGTATAAACAGAAAAGTATATATTAGCACTCACCTATTTTGCTTGTTATCTCTTCTGATGGTTTCCTTGAAATTGGAAAGTGAGTGAAGTACACTGAGCTCCCTCTGAGCTTTTATTCAAGCTCACAGGAAGTGAAAGCAAAGCAGCCAATCACACGAGAGCAGCTGATTTACAAGAAACAGTCCACAGTGACTGTAACAAGGGCAAGGCAAAACATAATGCTGCTCATAGTTGATTGGAGCATGCTGTGAACCAGGTAAACAGGAAATGTAACTTTCAGAAAGCATGCTGCATGATTCATACATATTCCACTAGGAAAGTCCCAATAATTTGAGGAATTTAGAGAATTGCAAGTTCAATATTTACTCCTTGCTGTGTCTCACGGAGAGATACTGCAGGTCCTTCCTTCCTGCAGCGGTCAGACTTTAATAAGCACCATGGCACCTGGTAGACCACCACACAATACAGACTGTTACAATCTTGTTAATATAAATAAGAATCTGAATCAGATATCAGAAATCAGAAACCGGTTTATTGCCAAGTAGGTTAACACATATGAGGAATTTGCCATTGTGTATTTGGTGCATATAAACACAGTTAAAGAAGATACATTGTAAGAAAAGGACCATCAAATAAAACAATGATAAAACTATTTAAAGATAACTAAAATAACATTAAAATATAGCAATATTTACATTGAATATGGATGAAATATAGATATACCCATGTGCAGTTACAATGTGCAAAATTCGAAGGGTTTTGTACTGACTGTGTTCAAATGAACGAGATAAAAATAAGCCCATTCTGCAGTTACAGAAATAGTGCAATAATGACGGTTATGTGCAAAACATACATTTTTAACAATCACCTTTATATGTTTACGTAGCCTTGAAATGCTGGTACTAACATGTATGTGTACTTAGTTGTCTGTATTTGTATTTCTACTAACGTGTGCTTCTCTATATTGAATATGTTAGCTTACTCTCTTAATTTTTTGCCTTTTATCTGCAATATCACTTTTGCTGTAATGCTGTAAAAATGTCCTGTGATTAAAATGTGATTTCTGGTTTCTGATTTCGGGTTTCTGAGTAACTATTTTTTGTTAGTTCAAACATTAATCACATTTGACGATTTGTTAAGCCAACATAAGTCTCACAAGACACACAATGCAAAGAAATGTTAGGCTGTAAAATAACCTCACGAGCCATAACACCAAAGAACTTATAAGAAAGGAGTTATAGTTATAAAGTTGAGATAAGACACAGCTGTTTTCAGTTTCAGTTTTAGCTGGCTGATAAAAACGTCTATGAGTTGTTGCTAGGGTGACCAGGTCCCAACAAACCAAATGTGGGACAAGGAGTATGTTTGTGCGGGACAATGTGGGACACCCTCTCAACACACCCCCCCCCCCCCCCGTTGAAAATGTACTAGCGGTGATTATTTGCGGTACCGAGGTGGGCCGGTCGAGAGTCCCGGGCTGATTTGTAGTCCCAGTCCGCCGCTGCCCACGGGTAAATGTCTTCCCAGTCTTTGTTGTATGTGCATCTTCTTCTTTTCTTAGCTGTAGTTTCAGTTTCCTCCATTTTCCATAACCTGCTGCGTCGCCTGCGTTATTGACTTTTATTGTTGTTGTTTGGCGGGGCCGCGGCGGTGTGTGTGTGAGTGAGTTACTCTCATTGGTTAACACTTGACCAGCACCCGCCGTGTCTTACAGTTTGATTGACAGCAAACACAGCTCCGTGATGATAGCCTTCCCTGCTTTCTCAACAGCCATTGGATAAATCTGATTTTAGAAAAGCGTTTTAGCCAATCAAAATGAAATATGCGGGACATCGTCTCAATTTGCGGGACGCACCAAAAGTCGTGAAAATGCTGTGCAGTCCCGCGCAAAGCGGGACGTCTGGTCACCCTAGTTGTTGCTTGGACTTTGAGACAAGAAACAGAAACCCTGTTTTAATATGCTAAAAATAAAATGTGCATTATGCTAACCAAAAGTCCTTTATCAGGTGAAACTCTTGAGATAAAAACTGCCACAATCTGCAAAGTGTAACCTACAAATGTGGGTTTAGAGGACCCAAACACTACTCACAGGAAACAATGTTTAGCCAGAACAACAAGAGGTAAAACATACTGTTAAATAAAACTGGACCAAAGAAGAAATTCAAGAGAATATTTCTTTTTTCCCATGAATGAAATTAGGCTTATTTTGTCGTTATTCAATATGAGTCAGACTCATGTGCTGCATATGAAACGTCTCAGACTTTGACACTGTCACTGCACCGTACACTGAACACACAATCTTTATTGCTTGGACTTCCAATAGAACAATTAATTATTGAACAGTAAGAACACTTCTAAACAGGGTCAACACACTTTATTATCAGTTTCACTATTACTAGAAGAACAATGTTACGTAATGGTTTGAGACTCCTGACCTCAGGAGACGCCTCTGTAATCACCGTTACTTTCCATGAGCTGCAGTCAGTTCTTCCTACCTGGCACTTGGATCTTGTTCCATTCTTTTTATCATGTTTGGATTTTAATGAAAGGTGAAACTAAACAACTACAATAAGACGCACTGCATTAATACAATTATTCAAGAAGAATATCAAATGACTCTGAACGATCACAAACAGATTCAAATAAGACTGAAGAGATGAAGAAATGGCTGCAAAGATATTCAAATAAGGACCTGAATGTTATTTAAGTCAGCACGAGCTGCATAATTACTTGAAACAGATGTCAGTATTGGCTGGAAATATACAAAAGAAACAATCTTGAAAGCACTGGAATAATTATTTTACAGATATTATTATGAGCCTTATTCGATAACCATTAGGCAACAAGGCGTCAGGTCGAAGAATACATGTTCAAAATTAAACTGAAAGTAATTGGTCATATGATTAGGGTGACATAAGAAATAGCTTTAGACAAACAATTTTGTTTCATTTTCAGTTTTAGCTGGCTGTTTGTGAAATATGACCTGTTGGTTGGACTTTGGGACCAGAATGAAATGAATGAATACAATATTCTGACAATGAAATGTGCCTTATGGTTACTAAAAAGCCTTTATCATGTGAGAGAACTTACATTACAAAATACTAGAATCTGAAAAGAGTAACCTAGAAATATGGGTTAGGAACAAAACCCTACTCAAAGTAAACAGTGTTTAGTCAGAACAACGAGAGAAAAAGAGAACTGCACCCTAAAACAGTCAAAATGCAACCTAAACGATAAATGTTATATAACCATTTATGACTCCTGACTCCAGGAGGGACACAGGGACGTCCCTGTAATAAACCTAGCCTTATCTTCCGACGTGTTAACTACAATACTTCCTGTATGGTCCAAGGATTCAACAACCATGTTGTAGCTGCTGCCTTTTATCCTGGTTGGAAAACTCAGCTAATTTTAAGATTTGTATCTATTTCGATATAATTGATTGTTTTTTTTTACCACGGATGTTACTAACCACTTGTTTACCACGAAGAGCAGAAAGAACAACAAAGGAACAGCTATGGGTTTTGAAATATCAGCAGCTGGATTTGTTGTCTTCATTTTCTCTGTCTCAGGTATTTTATATTTAAACGTCTTTCACTTATTCTCTAGCAACCACAATATAGAGTGAGTGTAACGTGTGCTGGCTAATTTGAATGGTTAAAGCTTGATCATAAATTAGACACAAACACCACATTTCAAAGTTCACCATTGTGGAAATAATTTTTGGAGTAACCATATAAATCTGTTTTTAACCCTTGTGTGGTGTTCAAAAGCTGTTACCGTTCATGATTTATCTCAGTCCAAAACACTCAAAAATAATGACTATCATCCAATATTGGTTTAACTACATCATAACTAACTTATTATGCATTCATAACCGTACAATCCTGTTGTAATTTAATGTAATGGCCCCAAAAAACATTACACCACACATTTAAGTAAAACATGTGATTCAATTCACTCATTATATTCCCTATAGTGAAGACAGTGGATCATTACGTTATCTGAATAGACTCATATTAGAATACAATCTCCCCAAAAAAAGTTTTAAAGTATTGTTACAGTGGATGAAGGGGGTGGGGGTGGGGTGTCTAAAGTCAAAGATGAATCTTGATTGGGCCAAATTTGACCCCGAGTCACCCACAACAATTCTGCTGGGTCTCCCCAGACCCCAACACCAAATGAGACACTTATCTTTTTAGAGACCTTCAGACTTGGCAAACATTGTCAAAATCTGTTTTGTAGAGTTTATATAGCTATTGTGGAGGATATCATGAAGCCTTGTTCCAATAAAAAACTAGAGCGTAGTTATTATATAATTTTAACTTGAAACGGGTCACGGGAGACCCGAACGCAACATAAGGGTTAAAGCACCACCATAGGTAGGACTCATTGACTTGTATGTGCATTTGTGGTTGACTTATTGGCAAAAGGAAAAAGTTGGTGTCAGAGTACTGTCAGTGCATAATTAAAACATAGATCTGTACACATGTCCAACAAAAAATCCAAGAACTTACTTAAACTTCTTTATATAAATATTGTTATTATTACAATATGTGCATTTATCCCAAATACATCTCATGCATTTCAATGCCTTTGAGAGAAAGGTCCATTTATGGTTTGAGCACATGTTCTGGGTTTCTTCTTTCACAACAGTGAGGAAACAATAAAAGGATATGTTTTTCTTAACATTTCTACAAACCTACTTGCTATAGATTAATGCTCTCTCTTTGATCAGCTTAATAGTATTTATTGAAATAATCTGCAGCCTTTGTTATTTGTCTTAGTTTACCTCAGTTCACCTCATTCATTCATATTGAGTTATAAACGTATATGAACAATAAGATAGGATAAGTTATTCAATTAAGGGAACAATTTGCCAATATTGTTTTTGGAGTGTTGCAGAGCTACATTGTATTATTTTTCAAATTGCATGTGTATTGTTTAACTTGCTCATCCTTGCCTCTGATGTGGAGCCTAATAGAGCTGGGCAATATATCAATATTATATCGATATCATAATATGAGACAAGACATCAACTTTTCATTTTATATTTATTTATAATATGGCATACGTTTAGTCTTTTGCTGGTTTAAAAGGCTGCATTGCAGTAAAGTTATTTAATTATCTGAACTTA